TGTACCGCGTCAATGCCTCGGTGTTGTGTTTGGCGTGGTGATCGTGTGTCACGGCAGTTCGGTTCCGATTTCCCCTACATTGGCTGTGTATAGAAGTGATACCTACCTTGGGTACCCCAACAAGCCTAGGTAGGTAGGTACCTAGGTAGCGCAGAGGCAGGTGCAGGTCCACGGAGGTGTACCGTGCAGAAAACAGTGTGTAGAAATGCGCTCGACCCTGAGCACGGGTGGTCAGAGCTCTCTGCATTAGTCCTCTCCTCGCCAGACAGAAAAAAATGAGAGGACCTGCCCAGGGTGCATCAGTGTTCATCCAGTTGCTCCTGACTCCTTGATCCTACTGGTAGGACGGCTCGGAAAGAATCTGGAGACTAGAGGATGCCATTTCCCACGCGAGATGCCAGGAGCACAACAGGAAGGGGGCGGTTAACGACAGGCCAGAAACTCGTGTTGTGGCTGGAGGGTCTGATGGATATTTCGGCGGTACAACGCGCTCACCGTCGCACAGCCGAGACATTACCAGCGGGCGAAACCTGCGTTAGACAAGTTCATCAGCGCTGGGTGTAGGTGACTTTCAACACCCACCTCAGACAGGTACCTACCCTCTGGTATTGCGGTTGTTTGCTGAACGCTTCAATGGGCTGCACCCAACCCGAACTCGTGTCGGTCGAGGCAGGCAGGACGGCAGGGCCACTACAGGGACAGGACATGAGGGCGCAACCACTGCTCAACATGAGGTACCTACCTTCAATGTGGGCCATTGCGGAAATGGAGGGCGCACTGCCAACCAATGGCGATGTCGCACAGGCCTTTACAGAGTCGGTGGGTCCACACTGTGCCCCCATGGCGGACATGCAGGGCCTCGACGGGTGGTCTTGCCACGAACGAACTGCGGTCGTGCTGTAGCGCTGCACGAGCCAACGTCCTCGCTGTGATGAACATTAACCTACCTGCATTGCATCTGCATACTGGCCATCGAGCATCCATCTCTGCTGACAGAGCCGACATGAACGGCGTGCTGGGAGCTTGTTCAGACAGCCAGCAAAACTGGGGGACTACCAGAACTGGCCAAGGCTAAAATAGTCGCCATGGCCAGGAAAGTGCTTGCATCGCCAATTAGACTCGTTCGAGCCTTCCTAGCTCGTCGCTGTCGATCGCGCATCTCGGCGCTAATCCCTTCATGGCACGCAGAAACAGAACCTCAGCCAGCAACCAAAATCAGCCAAGGTAGGGGGAGGTCCAGCCCGAAGCACAGCACACTACCTAAGAGTGGATCCTCTAGAGCGCCC